GTTCAGCTATTAAATATTTTAACATTGAACTCATTATGAGTTTATATTTATTATTTTTATAATTTTAATAAATTTTTATTCCGCAAAATTATTGAACCAGTCGAGTATACGCTAAAAATTTGATGACCATACATGGTGCAGGACATGTTCGTAGCAGGATCTGACACATCATCTTCAACCGTTATTTGGGCATTAACAGAAATGATGAAGAATCCAAAAGTCATGGCTAAAGCACAAGCTGAAGTGAGAGAAGCTTTTAAAGGAAAGAAAGCATGTGATGAGGATACTGATCTTGAAAAGCTTCATTACCTAAATTTAGTGATCAAAGAGACACTCCGATTACACCCTCCAACTCCTCTACTTGTCCCGCGAGAATGCAGGGAGGAAACAGAGATAGAAGGATTCACTATACCATTGAAAAGCAAAGTCTTGGTTAACGTATGGGCAATTGGAAGAGATCCCGAGAATTGGAAAAATCCTGAATGTTTTATACCAGAGAGATTCGAAAATAGTTCTATTGAGTTTACTGGAAATCATTTTCAACTTCTTCCGTTTGGCGCTGGAAGACGAATTTGTCCAGGAATGCAATTTGGTTTGGCTCTTGTTACTCTGCCATTGGCTCATTTGCTTCACAATTTTGATTGGAAACTTCCCGAAGGAATTAATGCAAGGGATTTGGACATGACAGAGGCAAATGGGATATCTGCTAGAAGAGAAAAAGATCTTTACTTGATTGCTACTCCTTATGTATCACCTCTTGATTAACTCTGAAATTTTGCTTTAATGCTGCTTGCTTGCTTCACTTGTTTTAGTGTGCACAAGCATTGAATAAGTTAAATACAGGTACAATATTTTATTTATCTTTTCTGTTTCATCTCCAGTGTTATTGTACCATGATAAGTAATGGATCAAATAAACGAAAATTCTGGGTGTGTTTGGTACCAGGGAAAGAAAATGTTTTTCAATTTTTCAATGTTTGGTTGCTTAAATGTTTTGAAAAATATTTTTCTCGTGAACTCATTTTTTTCTAATTGGAGGAAAATATTTTCCTTATCAAGAGAAGAGAAAACATTTTCCAAAACTCATTTTCAACCTTCCCCATCTCTATTCCTCATCCCCACCAACCCCAACCAACCCAACCACCACACCCACCTACCCCAACCCAAACTCAACTCCACCCCGACCCATCTCTACCCTAAATAAAAATATTATTAGTAGTATATTTTCATGTTATAGCTAGATTTTTTATTCTTTGCATTTCAACAAATAAGTATTTTTTTACATGATATAAAAAGTTTTTTTTTTTCATTTCAATAAAAAAAGTACTTTTTTTTCATAGAAAAAATATTTTCTTTCATTTCAACAAATAAAAAAAGTATATATTTTTTTATTTCAATAAAATGAGTATTTTCTTTTCATGATGTAGAAAAAGTATTTTCTTTTATTTCAATAAAATGAGTACTTTATTTTCATGTCGTAGAAATAGTACTTTCGTTTTCAACAAAAAAAAGGTATATTTTTTTAGTTATGGAGCACAAATTTTAACGTTATTTTTGCGTAAAAATGTAAAGCAACACATTAGTTAATTTGGGTTTGTGTGAGTTTATAGAAGAATAATTTAATTACTTGAAGAAAATAGACTTCTGAAAACGTTGGGTATTTGGGGGGAGGGGGGAGGCGAAGGCGAGCAAGGAAACTGGAAACATGAGACTTGGGGGAAGGGGGTGAGGAAAGTAGCATACAAAAATATTTTTTTCTGCTCTCTAACCAAACATTAGAAAATATTTTCCGAAAAAAGTTTTCTAGTCACCATCCAAGCAAGGAAAAATAAGAAATAAAACCACTCATTTTCGGCGAAAAATATTTCTAGGAATCTCCTTCATACCAAACACATCCTCTATTTCGTTTTTTTTTACGCCGTCTGATCATCATTAGCTGTAAAGACTTTTTTTTATGTTTGAGTGGCTCCATTTTTAAGTGATAGATTTTAAGAGGTTTTGGGAAAAGCCACCTTGTAAAGCTGTTCACAATGATATTTTTTTCCAACTATTCACAATGATTCACGATGGAGAAAAGAAAAAAGGGAGACTTCCCTGATTATTCAAGTGAGAACAAAGCTAAAATATTGCTACGTTATATTTGGTTTCTCACTAGATGTTCGGTATTTGCTTTAACACCTAAACTAGTCCGGATTCACGCTACCCATTAAAGGAGGAAGTGTTCTATCGGAAATTTTTTTATTCCTAGAATCGAACGCCAACCTCTGATTAAGGGAGAAGTTATCTTATCTATCTAATCACAACATCTGCGAATTACTTTATTTTGCAGTAACATGAAGTTGTTTTAAGAGGGAAAAGATATTATATTGGGCCTAAAATGACGTTGAATGGGCCTTTTTAAATATAACCCCGCGCCAGTTTAAAGCATGCTAGGCAAAACTTTTCTAGGCCACACGTAGCAATAATGGTGATAGTCAAGATTCTATCATAAAAGCATGCTGGGCAATAATGGTGATAGGCCACACGTGGCAATAATGGTGATAGTCAAGATTCTATCATAAAAGCATGCTGGACAAAAGTTTTCTAGGCCACACGTAGCAATTATGGTGATAGTCACCGGAATTTCTTCCATAATGCTGAAAAATTCTAGTGATCTGTCAGTATGTTTTGGTAAAATCCTTAAGATCACCACAATTGGTGCAAGCGGTTAATAAAAATCCTATTCAGCATGCTTTAAAATTTTAGCATACAATTTTTTTCCCCGAAATTTTTATTATCGAGATTAAAAAATTAATGGGGGCATAAATATATCCTTTTTGTTTCATTCTCACTAAATTGATATATTTAGTGGACCTGCCGACATTGCTTATATTGAATATGGCCTTTGAGAATATTTAAGTGCTAAAACTTGTTGCAAAAGGTCAATAACAAACGTGAATCTCATTGGGAGAAGAAGAAAGGCAAGTTGCCTCGTTTTCTACCGGTTGCGGCGATGAACCGAGGGAATTTTTTTTTTTTTAATTAACCAAATACTTTATTAACAAAAATAATTACAGAGCTAGCGTGTTAGAGTGGCTGCCCAGGTGGCCAGCATTGTGTGCAACAGTGTTAGTAATATTACATACCAATATTTTTCTACTGAATGTAGTTCCTAGAACGACTGTCCAAAGTGCGTCATTATCAAACATCGGAGGAACTGCCAAAAATCTAGTTCTATCAAAAAGCTTTTTCTTGCTCCTTCCTTTGCTAGGATGTCTGCCATCTGATTCTGCTCCCTGAAATTATACCTGATGACTGGATACCCCAACTGTGTCATCAAGGACCTTCATTCACAAATAATGGGGTCATAAGGCAAATGGCCATCATTTAGCATTCTAATGATTTTGTATGAGTCTATGTTTATGATTAAGAGGGTGAGGTTCTGATGAACAACTAGCTTTAGCCTTTCGAAGAGGGCATTGAGCTCAGCTAGATTGTTACTAGTGGAAGAGAAACCTTTCATGTAACCAATGATCCAGTCACCCGAGTGGTTTCTAACGACCCCCCTATACCCCTTACCCCTGGGTTACTAAAGTAGGAGCCATCAATGTTTAGCTTGTAGGAGCCTCTGTCAGGTGGTTTCCATTTGACACTTATAGTAACCCATTTCTTCTGAGGTTTGTTCCTGGTCAGTAGGTGGTATTCCATAGCTTTAACAATAACAATATTAGTTTGAACATGCTCCTTTTTATTGTTAGACAGATTGTTGTTTCTGGTGAACCAAATATTCCAGAAGCAGAAGGTTAAAAGGAAGTGCCATTGGATGCAGTCATTGAAGGCTTTGTCTTTTAGCATGCTCCATGTGGTATTCCAAGAATCAGGCATGAAGTGTAGTGCTCGTGGCAGTGATTGACTTATAGAATATTGGCAAAGGTTATTCCAAATTGTTTTGGTATTGGCACATAGGAAGAAGATGTGATTTATGGATTCCTCTAGACTGTTACACACTGAACAGGAAGGACTCAATTGAAGGCCAATGTTGTGAAGATACTTATTGGTGGGCAGTCTGTTTGGGCTAGTAACCATGTAAAAAATCTAATCTTATTAGGAGCTTCTAGTTTTCATATCCAGTTGAAGGTGGGCTCATAATCAGAGTGTGTGTTCCGCTGTGAGTGTAGGAGGGAGTAAGTTGACTTAGAAGAGAATGTGTCATTATTAGTGAGCCCCACATGAGTTTGTCCTCTCTTTGAGGTGTGATTAAGGAGGGTTTACTGATGGTGAGAGACAGGGACTCAGTAATGGGAAATGAGAGGTGTTCTAAGTTCCAGATCCCATTGTTATATATGGAGGATATCTTTAAGTTATCTTCTCAATTTAACTTTGACCCACTGATAAAGGTATCAATACGCCCCATGTTTGGGATTCAACTGTCAGTGAGGAAGTTTACTCTATTACCTTTGTTGACAACCCACCTAGAGGCTTTGTTGCAGAATTTTCAGCCCTTAAGGATGCTCTGCCAGGTAGTGGGTACCTTTTCTTGACTATAACCTTGTTCAGCTGCATGTAGTCAATACAAATTCTCATAGAGGCATCTTTCTTCTTCACAAATAGAACTGGAGCACCCCAAGGTGAAACATTCGGTTAGAAACTCCTAAAGTTATTCCTTCAATTCATTCAACTGTACTGGTGCCATGTGATATGGTGGAATAGAAATGGGCCGAGTGTCCGGCACCAAGTCAATACCAAAATCAATATCTCTATCGGGTGGTATGCTCGATAGGTCTGCTAGAAACACATCTAAAAACTCACTCACTACTACAACTAACTCAACGGTAGGAGTATCAACACAAACATCCCTCACAAAGGTTAAGTATGCCAAGCACCCCTTCTCAACCATCTTTTTTGCCTTCAGAAAAGACACCACCCTATTGAGAACATAACCCAACAAACCTCTCCACTCCAACCTCGGTAACCCTCGCATAGCTAATGTCACGGCTTAGCGTGATAATCAATCCATGCCCAAAGTCACATCAAAATCTATAATATTGAGTACTAAAAGGTCAACCCTAGTCTCATATCCCCCAATAGTAACCAAACAAGAATGATAGACATGGCCTACCATAATAAAAACCCCAACAGGTGTAGACACATAAATAGGGGTATCCAAAGAATCACGATACATATCTAAATATGAAGCAAAATAGAATGACATATATGAATAAATGGAACCAGATCAAATAAAACTAACGCATCCCAATGACAGACCGGAATAATACCTGTAATGACAGCATCTGCTGCAACGGCCTCAGTCCTACTAGGGAAAGCATAATAATGGGCCTGGCTTCCTACTCTAGGACGCCCTATACTCGCATGTCCTCCACCTCTAGCTGGTTGTGCAGGTGGAGTAGCAACTGGATCAGAAACCATAGCCTGAGTACCCTACAGAGGTCCACCTCTCTGAAGTCTAGGACAATCTTTTACTATGTGGCTTGTATCACCCTACTCGAAATAACCCCTCTACGGGCGTGGATGTTGGTTTTGAGTCTGCCCCCGATGGCTAGAATAACCATTGTAGGAACCCCATATAGAAGGTGCACTGGATGATGGCTGTCCAATATGAATACCCTGAGGTCCCTAACTAGTTGGAGCACTACGAGTAACCTGAAGTGCAGACTCAACTGTCGACTGATAAAATCTCTTCCATGATGAGTTGTAGCTGAAGAATGGGAACCACTGAATACTCTAAAACCTTGAGGCCTCTTGGCCTCCCTATCTCCTGTCTCTTGT